ATTTTTTAATAGGCATTTTGAGTTACTTTAGTTAGAATTTCGTTCCGGACTTAATAACGGTTTACCGTTCCCTAGTTCTATAAAATTTTATAAAAGAATAGTTTTAACAATTTTATAATTAAAATTATAATTTTAAAAAATGCCTCCGGTTTTTTAATGGTCTGAACAAGAAATCCGTGTATTGATTAATGAAAGACAAGGAAAGAATGTAGATTATTATAGGATTTTTGAAAGGTCTAAAGTAGTATTTTGGAATTAAATAGCGGAAAAATTTAAAGAAATGAATACAGTTTTTACAGGAATACAATGCAAAAAAAGAAATTTAAACACGTAAGAGAATGATAGTAAGTAAAATTTTTGTAAGAAATATAATTAATTTTTATTAGTCAAAGTAATATATATATAATTTCATCTTTACGAAAGGAAAGGAGAAGGGAAAATGATCTTTATTTGGTAAAGTTTTTGGAATGAATTTAAATCCCATTAGGATAAAGCCGCGTAAGATTAAGTTAATATTAGAAAGTTTTCTATAACAAATTCAATTTTATTTTTATTTTTTAGCATCACAAGTAGAAGAAAATAGGTGTAATAATTTGAAAAAACAAGAAGCGCGTAAGTATATTTAAATTGATCATTTGCTATTAAATTTTGATTCACAAAAAATTTAAATTTTAGAGCGAAACTCCTCACGAAGTTTTTCTTCCTCCCCTCTATAAGAATCCGCCTCCCATCCACCATCACGACGTTCCTTTTCCTTCCCTTCACAATGACTTTCTTCTCCCTCTCCTTCTCAACAATTTATCCAATTATAGATATCCAGCTTTTAACACTCTTTTTAAATATCTCACTACTGTCATTCTTTTCCTTAATTATTCCGCTTAATTCTTTTTACCAAATATCATTTTTTATATATACTTTTTTACTGAATTTCTTCCTAAAAAAAAAACCTGAACGAAGCTTGCGATCAATAATTAGACAGTAATAAAATGCATTTTTAATGTTTATACAAATATTTTATTATTAAAATTGTCATTTAATTTAAATTGCCAAAAAAAAAAAAAATTTATGAATACAATTAAAAAGATATATATAAATTTATAAATATCAAGAATATATAAATTAAATAAATGCAAGATTTATAAATAACTTTCAATTGAAGCCCCTTACATTCAAAAGCCGAAACCCGAAAACCATATTAAAATCATTATAATAGGTGCTTTATCCAAAAGTTTCATTTCAATCATTTAATTCCTTTTGATTGCTTGAAAGAAAATATGGAGGAATACTCCGAAATCTTTCTGTTAAATATAGTAAGTAATAAAATAGGTAAAAATTCTCGATTTAGATTATAAATCATATATAAGGTGGGGAAATTGTCCATAACAAGTTTTAAAAATACACAAATTACCTCATTTTCTTTAATAAATTGGTTAAAATTGGAAATATGATAGCGATAGATTATGCAGTGAAATTAAAATTTTTTTTTATCCAGAATCGAAGGTCGGTCTTGTGATTTCTCAAGCCATTGTTACCAAAAGTCTCGTAGTACCTATTGTCATGTGACAGCGGAGTACATAGAACTTACCTAAACAATTTATGTTAATTTACGTTGTATTACGATGATTAGTGCAACATTGACACGTTCAACATTTAAAATACAAAACAAACCCCATATTTTAAATTTTTATTTCATTTCCAACTTGATATAATTTCACTAGCTCAAAGCATCAAAATCCTAAAGCAAAGTGTTGAAAACGCGAGTATAACTTTCCATCGTAAAAGAAAGATTTTTTCTCCCAGTGATTTTATAGACGATCCACAATATACTTGTTCGTAACATGAAAATGACGAACAATTCTAAAAGGAGAAAGGTCGAATTGTCGGACACGTTACAACAGTGGTTAGAATCTCGTATTAGACCTAAGCTTCAGATGAACTTAACTACTGAACTAGCCTGGAAGGATATAATAAAAGACATTTTAAAGGACATTTGTATAAAAATTTTGGCTCCACTCTCACTGGAAGTCTTTGCAAGTGCGATGAATCGGTTAGCTCAGATCGATGATAATGACCGGTTATATTTAATTGAAAGGATACTTACCTTTACTCCAAATCCTGATATGGTTTCTGGTGAAATGGAAAATGTGTTGAGAGATTATTTGATGTCACATCTTTCAACATTAAATAATTCAAAAATTGAAATCAAACCAGACTTGATCGATGTGGCACAAGCTGTCTTGCAAAGATCTCATAAGGATTGGATCAGTACCTGCGAAGCGATTTCATCATTTCTTAAGGATTGTTCTACAAATTACAATACTGAAAGAAATGTTTACGTTGTATATCCACACTTATCTGACATCTCTAGAAAAATATTTTTAGATAAAGAGCAAAGAAATAGTGTAGAAAGATTTTTCACATTAGTACAGGATGTTGCTAGTTCTTTGGGTTTTAGGTTCAAAGATTTAGTTGAGACTTATGTAACTCCCCATGATCAAGATATGGTTCAAAATGTTATGAGTGAATTATTTCCAAAAGGATTGCCAATAGATAATAATAAAAAACTTCGACCTCGATGGCATAATCAACAATATATGATGTTTTTAGCTTTGCAAAGGGCTCCAAATAAAACATTGTCACGTGGTGAATTAATTAAAGCCGCTATTTCCTTGGATGAAAAATGTAGTGATGAAACAGGCTTGCCACGATGTTTTACTGGTCAGGTGAGTGATATGATCATCAGTGGTTTAATTAGTAACTCGTTTGTATGCCGATTTTTATCTCGTTCCCTTTTCCTTTTCCTTTTTGTTTTTAATTATTATTATTATTATTATTATTACTCTTTTTTGATTTAACTTTAATCATTTTATTTTCCTTCTCCTTTCTATATGTAATATGGATAGACGCCGAGAAATTCTGCTAGCGCTTGTTTGACAACAAATGCAGACAAGTATTTTAAAGTATTTAAAACAGACTCAAAGCAAAACACCACCTTCTATAAACTCTCATTTGTTCCGAACGACCGTAATGATGCAATATATCGTTATAAACAATGGATGCAAGGCATAATTGAACACGATTGGGTACTGTGTTTTGGAAAACCAAAAAAATCAAGGACCGGTAAATAAAAATTTTTTGAAGGAAATGTTTTTCAAATGGTTACATTTAAAAAGAAAAATACTAACGCTTATTTTAATTTAACGAAAATAGGTCAATCTGTAACTAATAACGGAAATGTGATTATGCTTACTGTTGGTGCGGGCAATCCTGTCCATGTGCGATGTCGCCGTTGTATAGAAAAATCATGTGATGCAAAATTACCAGCTTGCGGTAGATGTAGGCAAAGAGGACATTTATGTATTTACCCGCTTAGAATAGGTGTACACGAAAAAACTGAAAGGCTGAAAGCAAAACGTACTCCATTATTGTTGACATATCCGGAACAAACCATTGAAATTGATACACGACCAGCAACAGCTACGAGAAATAAGAAAAAGTTACAGCAACAACTATTAGAACAACAAAAAAGGTTGGATTCAGAAGATCCTGATATATGTAGAGCTAGTTTACCTGATGAAATATTAAATGGATTAGACCTTTCAAATGTCCCAAAGAGCTTAGATGACGTTGTTGAAGTTCGTCCTTCTACGATTCAAAATGCAGGTAATGGACTATTCGCTAAACGTAACCTTCCTATGGCAACACCTCTTGGGTTTTATTTTGGTGTTCCAATGATGGAAGATGATTTTGATAATTCTAAGGATAAAATTGGTAGAGCGTCACATTATTCCATGAGATATAAACATACGATACTAGATGCTACTGATGAGAAAGGGGAACCGTTTACAGATCCAAATGGACCAATATTTTGTCCTTTTCATTTTATGAATGAAGATCCATTCGGAAATATGGTATTCCTGGAAGGAGGTGATGTGAATCAAGTTATATGTTGGACTAAACGAGATATCAGAAAAGGAGAAGAACTATTTGTTTATTATGGTGGAGATGTAGATCGAGAACATTGGGGACAAGCTGGAAATAATAGTGATCAACTTGTAAATGAATGTGATAGTGAAGAGGAAGTATTTGTATTTAGTGAAGAAAGCGATGGAGATGAAGAAACAATTGATACATGTGAGGACAACATTAACAATGTAAATAATATTAATGGTAATCAAATCGCGGGAAAAAAAAGGAAGTCTACTTCAACAATGAAGAAAAATACAAAACGAATTGCAATAAATGGAAGAAAGAAAACAGGAGATGATGGAGATGATGGGAATGAAGGAGATGATGGAGATGATGGAGATGATGGATATACACAATAAAGATCAAAGTGATTAACTAAAAGGCCACACTATAATTGTATAATCTGGTAAATTGATGGAGGTAGGTTATAAAAATATATATAATACATTAGTTTGCATAATTTTTTTTTAGATGATTTTTTTTCATTCTTTTAATTTGAGGAAGAAAAGGTTAATATTTCTTCAGATTTAATTTTATAAATACTTGCACAATATCATAATAATAAAATCAATTATTTGACAAGCATATATACATACATTCATATCTAAATCTTTTTTTTATAAAAAATATTTTTTTATTGAAAAAATACAAGGGAGAAAGAATTACAACATATAATGATAACAAATTAAAACTTTGAAAATTTATTACAAAATAACAAATATCTTACATTGTTTTTTTTAAAAAAAATTCCTCTTTTAAATTTATACTTTATACAAATGCAAATAATACTTGATCCCATTTTTTTTTTTGGATATCATTATATACAGAAAGAAGCAACACTCCAAAATATTTTTAAAATAGTAAACCATCATCCAATTCATTAAAAGAAACCCTTGGATTTGAAAGAATATGAAGAGGATTATTATTTCCATCAATAAATGGTATAGGTATAGCCGAAGTAGATGGAATAGAAAAGATAATAAAGCATATTATTAATATGCATATAGAATGAAGTAAATGAAAATTAACTGAAACGGTATTTTTCATAATTTCTTGATTCGAGAGAAAAATGAAAATGAAAATGAGGGGAGATTTTATGGCGTTTTTTTTTGTATGAGACGTTTTTGAAAGAGAATGAAAAAGATTTATCGGTCCGGCCGAAATGAATTTGTAAGAAATTTCGTTTTCTCGTTAGGGAAAATCGAACAGGTTTGTTCTTTCGAATAGATTTCAATAGATTCGACTATTTAAGCATTTTTGGATCGGGAAAATGAGGTCACACACCAGAAATCATTTCCCCTCAGCGTTCATCATCGCTAAATTTTTCTATTTTTAGAGATCATTATATTTCTCACACTTTTTTCGCGTTCTAATCCCGTTACTTTAATTTCTTCTTTATAACTTGTGGAAATAATGTCTTCTAAAAGGAAAAGTTCTAAATATATTGTTAATAGTGACGAAGAAGCTGGTTATATAAATGAGGAGGTAAATAATTTATTACAAACACTCTGAACATGTCTAATATTTACTGACGCGAAATATTTCCCTTACGTAACTTAGCAACACGATAACAATGATGGGGAGGAAGAGTTTGAAGAAGATGAAGATCCTAAAGTATTTATGTCACTTACACTTTACATTTTTACCTTCGATTATTCGTTTCGTTTATTTTACGAATATTATTTTAACTTAGCCAAGTAAAAGTACCTCTTCTCGAAGTTCAAAGAAAATTAAAAGAGATCCCGACTCTGAAGAAGCATACGAAAGCGATCGAAGTGATCGCGGGGAAAATAATGATGGAGAGACATATTTCAAAGTAAAAGTTATTTCTTTGAATAACAAACATGATAAAAAGTTTTTTTTTTTTTTTTAAAAAAATCACTTTATATTTTTTCTTGATCTTTTATTAGTTATCTGAAAAAAAGAGGGTGACTGTCCGCGAATGGAGAAATATGGTTTTAATCGACTTTCGTGAATTCTTTCAAACTAAAGATGGTAATACGCAACCAACAAAAAAAGGTATGGAAACTAGAATTTGTTGATTTCTTTGACTTTTGACGTTCAATCAATTTAATTTCCGATTATTTTACCGAAAGGCATTTCCTTACAATTGGAACAGTGGAATAAACTGAAACAGTTGATTCACGACATCGATGACGAGATTAGAAAATTGAAATAAATTTTTTTTTTTGTTATACCTAATCGTATCGTTTACTTATATAATTAGGATGTTACGAGAGTTATGAATAATGATACTTTGTAATTATTAAATTAAAAAAAATTTTGCTTCAAGTACCTCTAAAAATCATTTTATTTCGTTTAAATTAAAATTGATGAGTAAATTATTATACTAAAAAAAAGTATTATATAAATTGTATTACGATAATTTTAATATTCTTGTTATATAGTTAATTAAAATTTTGTTTTGTGTAATCAATAAGCCGTTGTCGTATAGTGGCAGTACATCGCGTTGTGGCCGCGCTAGCCCTGGTTCGATTCCAGGCAACGGCAATTTTTTTTTTTTATTTTTGAATTTTTTATTTACTTTGAGCAAATTATTATTATCCAATCAGAATATGTAAAGTGTCTTTAAATTTAAAATAATCTAAAATTTCGAAATTATTCAAAAAAAAAAAAATATTCTTTTCCAAATGATACGATATACTGCGTTTTCCTTACTCTTACTTATTTTATTAACCATATCTAATATGGTATGGGGAATAAAATTTGATCTTCCGGCAACCCCTTCTAACGCAATAACCTCGAAATGTATTTCACAATATGTTAATACTGATACTTTGGTTGTAGTAACAATTAAGATTGGAGTTGGATATAATCAAATAGTAGATGTAAAGGTTAGTAGTGAGTATGACGTGCTAGTGAAATCATTGAAAAAAAATAAATTAATTAATTAATTCATTACTATAGATAACTGATAATAGTCCTGCTCATAACGAATATGGTGGTAAAAAAGATATTGAAGAGGATACTCGTATAGCTTTTACCACACATGCCGATGCAGATGTTTCAATTTGTTTTACGAATTATCTAGATGATGGTAAATTTAATCAATTAATTTTAATCAATTCAATTTTTTTTTTTTTTTTTTTCATAATTGACCAACTAATTCAAAACTATTGACAAATAGAATTTCGTCCTGATCCAAAATATCATCGTACAATTGATTTGGATATTGATGTGGGCGCCGAAGCTATTGATTATGATGCATTAGCCAAAGCCGAAAAATTAAAACCTATAGATGCTGAATTGAGGAAATTAGAACAAATTGTTCAAGAAATTGTTGATGAAATGGATTATTTACGAAAACGTGAAGCAAAGATGAGAGATACGAATGGTACGTTCATTTTCATTTGTTGATTTTTAAAAATTTTGTCCTTAATTCTAATCCCTTTTAATTTGAAACTTATTTTCTCCCCTTCGAATTCACTTAAAGAATCTACGAATGAACGTGTTAAATGGTTTAGTCTTGGTAGTATGATCGTATTTGTAGGTTTAGGAGGTTGGCAAATCATATATCTAAAAAAATTCTTCCAAAAAAAGAGATTAATTGATTAAATTATATTTAAATTTCCTTTTTTGTCAAATTACGGATTATAACTTCAACTTGATAAAAATTTTTTTAACGTTCTCAAACGTGGCAAAAAAAAAAAATATCACATTAAAGTTTTATTTATAAAATCTATAATCAAATAAAAAAAATAATAATGTTACCAATCAAAATTTAAAGTTTTAGAATTTTCAATATATGGTTTTTCTATTTATCATTAGAGTAAAATTATTAAAAAATATCATAATTTATTTATTATTTTATATTATTTATAGAATGGTATAGTGTGTTAAAAAGTCTTTGGACATTTGATCATCTGAATAAAATTAGTTCAGCAGAATACAAACCACACGTAATTTTGCGAGATGATATATAAACATCATGATTTTAATTTTTTGTTGCCGAATTAATTTTTTTTTTTTTTTAACGATGGGTGACCAAAATATAACAAAGTCAGATAATTCACACGCTGAAGTTGTAAAACATTTTTGGGATAAAGGAATTATAAGTGCAAGCGTAATTCAAAAAAAATAAAACAAACATTCCAAGATCTACGATTTATTATATCAATAAACCTAAAAAACCCGAAAGTATAATTCATAAAAAACGCAAAGGACGACCAAAAAAAAAAAATTACACCAGAAAATTCCAAAGCAATTGCACAATATATAAGGAGGAATCCTTCTATTTCTTCCCGAACTTTAGTAAATAATTTGTTTAATAAAGGCATAAATTTGTCATGTGTAACAATTTTACATTTAGAAATACTTGGTTATAACAAAAAATTGCCAATTCCAACACCAATGTTAACTGCGGTACACAAGCAAAAATGAGATACACTATTAAAAAGGAATACGTCCAGTCCGTTGAATGCCAAAAGATCGGTCAAAAATCTTTGCTTGCGGAGGTTTTTGTATACAGGGAAAAACAAGCCTTTTTTGCTTTAGAGGAATTATGAATGGTTGATATTGAAATTACAAGTATGTTAAATAATGATGGGAGTCTGTGTGATTTATTTCGGAATTCTAGAGATTATGGAGATGAGAAACTTGTATTAGAAATAGACATATAAAAACAAATTAGTTATAGATATATTCTGTAAACGTGAGAGAGCAAAGAAATAAATTGATGCTGAGACTCGCATTAAATGACCTAGGATCCGCGTAATCTTCCCTCATTGATAGCATCATACATTTCATTCGCTTCTCTAATATTTTCCATTTCTGATTAGATTATTTAATTCAAAATATTTCACGATGACTCGAATTTTGTAATGAATGTAATGTTGAGTTCGAACTTATAAAACGCGTTCTCAACTAATAATCAGTGGGAGTTTATTCAGATTATAACGTGTTCATATAGTTTAATAAAAGTTATTACTAATAATATATATATAGTCAATAAGTCCTTTCATTTCTTCCACAAGATGTCTGATATCTACGAAATAATTAATAGCCTTGGTCTCGAAGAAGCAGAAGCAAACAAACTCAAAATTTATCTAATTACAAACCATGAAACAAGAAAAGAATTAACTTCAGCCCTTGCAGTTTCTTGCGGAACAGAAGAATCAAAACGGAATCTTTTGAAGGATTTTCTTCATAATATTCCTGGTATGCTAGATAAAATATTTGCCCTTTATACCGTTTGTGACGCTATTACTAAACCTTTTTTTGTTCTTTATCACGTGCCTGTGGATTTAGATGAACATCAAGGTAAGCTTCGCGTCGTAATAATTAACATGAACGTGACTTATAATTTATCAAAATTTTTTTTCTTTAGCACGAACAAAAATTAAAATTATGGATGAATTTCCCAACGGTATGTATTTTTAGTTATTTTAGACATCCAAGAATTTATGTTGTGACTGATCAACATTTACTATTCCGATAGGCTTACAATTTATAAAACCGAAACCGTTACTTTATTGTACTGGTTCAGAATGGATCTATCAACCAGCAAAAACATTATATGAAGAGTTGCGATATGAGCTTAAAGAATATTATAAAAATTTTCTTCAGAAAAATTTTGATAAAACATATATTCCGATATACCTATTCCTTTCAGGTGCTGGCACAGAAATGCTGAAGAATTTCATAAAACAGCAATTGCATGTTTTTCGGAAGTTGAGGATCTTGAACTGAGAAATAAAATTGAGAATGCTTTTGTATTCAGCGTTGGATTTGAAAATGGAAATAGCTTGATATGTGGTGTAGAACAGAGTGCGTACAGATCTAGTACTCGAATGCTTAAACAACTACTTCCCAATCAAGATTTAGATCTGATCATTCTAATTATGAAGCATCGTTAACATGGGGGTTTTTGAATTGGTGTCCAAATATGAAAATCGTAAATTAAAAGACACGATTTTTTTGTTGATTATTGACGGTCTACAATAATGAAATCGAATAATGATTGGAATGACAGGACATCTGAATTCTTTAAAACTTTGACGAATATACATGACCTTGCCTTACGAGGTACTTTCGTAATACCATTGTGTACTGCAACAGTCACTGAACCTATTGACAGTGTATTGAAAATCACGCATCGTAAACATGTGTATTTGCCGATTGCTTCTCTGGATCCCCCTACCATTATTAAAGGCGGTGTTGTAACTTCTATCTTTCAAACAGATGACCATATCATTAAAATGCTGGTAAATGACTGTGGTGGACATGGGAGGGCCCTCGAAGTTTTACAGGAAATCTTAAAAGACCGTTATATTCAAAATGTAAACATCAACGATATGATGAATGATTTGCGCATTAGACTTTATGACCGGTACCATGAGGCACTTATTTTATCACCTAGTGAAGCTAGAGCTATTGCACAAGCAACACTTACTCGACATCTCTTGAAATTTAATAAGCATTTCCTGGCACAAATAAGTATCCCAATCATATTGAACAACCTGGGCTAATTCGTTATATTCGTGAAAGTAATTCCAGTATGGGATATTTGGATTTACCTTACATATGGATTTGGATCTTGACTAATTCTTCTAATGGCAAGGATCCAGTACTTAAAGACTGGTCCTTCTGCGACTGTGGAGACCATAGGTCCAACGAAAATCTGACATGTCCTCCAGGGTCACAGTTTTGGCAACACTTTGAACATTTTTGTTGCTTCTTTTCGCACACTAAAATCAAGAAATCTAAATGATGGTGAATTAACATCGATCTCAAGAATTCATATTGGAGCGCGTTTGAATGGTGATTTCGAATTTAAGAATCATCATTTTGAGTTGGAATGCGCAGTACACCAAGAAGACACAAATTCATCAAACTATGGAAAAGGTAAAAAGGAGATTAACAAAACTGTAGATGTACGTGAATGCAAGTATTGTATCATTAATGGTGCATTTGCGCCATATGGCGATGCGTTCCTTGGGCTAGATGTTAATTTAAAGTTAGGGAAACCGAACGAAGTTCATCAATACAAAAGATGGAAAGTGAATTCTCTCACTGCACAAGATTACCAAAATGAACGTAAGAAGTCTGCATCGAATAAAGACTTTTTTATTTTGTTTATAACCACAAATTGTTTGAACTTCAAACTACCAAAAAATTCTGGAATTGTGGACGCGTCCAATTGGGACAAATATTTCGGTCCTTATTCTGGCAGGGCACATGCTTACGCTAATGTAGGTCCTTTGAACATTAATAAAGCAAGTCGCAGAGATCTCCTATCAGTGTATGGAATTGGTGAAACTTGGGCAGATAAAATCATGGCTAAGAGAGAATTCAAAGACATAGAAGATGCGAAAAAAAAGACTAATATACCAGAAAGGGTGTTAAAAAGATTCAAATTTTGAAAATGACAGATTGATCAATATAGAAGTACAAAAAAGTTGAGATAATAGAAAGCATCATATGTAATTAAGGTAATTCATGTTAGTGTTTTATTAATTTTATATGCATTTTCTTTACATAAGACTAGAATGAGATATTATAATTACTGCAATTAATTATCATTTAATATATTGTAAAGTAATATACAAATAAATTACAACAATGATTGCATTTATTATTCGCTCACATTTGGCTTATCAGAGGAATTTGCATACACTCACATGATGATGTAAAAACTTAAAAATATTTTAGGGTTTCATTTGTCTTGATACAGCATTTTATTTTTACAAATTATGACATGCCAATGTAAACGTGTTACAATTTTCTTTAATGCCCTTTTGGATGGCGACGCTTCTAGTGAATTTTCGTTAGTGGGAGAGTATTCTTGTACTTTCGCGATATTTCTTGCAACTTTAAGTAATAATCCATTACTCGGCTCTATAATTTCAAACATGAAGTTAGATCAACAATCATGTTGTAAAAGCGATTTCAGGACTCATACCTTGAAAAAATACACCTTTTCTATTATTTCATCAATAACATACACTTGGTCTTTGTTATCTGGGATCGTAAAGTTTGTAATGATATCTACAATGTGTAATCCTCCTTTAGCACGATGCATTGCGTAGATTGTCGTCTCCCGCTCTAAAATTATAAAGCAAAATACGATTAATAATTACAAATATCACACAACGCAGAATGTAATTTACATACGATAAACAAGTACACCGAAACTTTGAAGGAATAAGAGCTGACTTTTTGTTGCGTTACGTTTTAGGTGGATAAAAGATTGATATCTGCATCACTATAAAAATAAACAAATTCAATGGAGTTTAAAATGCCGTCATGTTTTGACCCAAGGCTAACCCGAGGTTTTCGACCATTTGTCTGATTCCTTTGTTGCTTACGTAAAGTACTTTCGATCTCTCCACTAACAAAATATTATATTTGATGAATAAAGAATTCGTTACATCAGACATAAATGAAACTATATAATAACATACACTTGGAATCTAATTTTATCATATCGTCAAATACTTTCGGAATTAAGGGATTGACGAATGAGTCTCTGTAAGCCATCTCATGTGCATTCGCGTCACGAAGTATGTTAAAAGTCGAGGCGAACAAAACCATGCTATAGAAAAAAAGGAATTAACTATGTCACTCCATATTACTGTGTTACACCATATTAAGTAACGAGGTATAAACTTACAATCGTTGAAAAATATCCTGTACCCATAACAGGCGATAGTGCTTTACAAAGTTAAACTCTCCCTCAAACGGCTTCTCGAAAATAACATCTGTTGATGTTTATTGAATATCTTCATCAAAAACTGATTTCGACTTCCCAACCAGTGACTTAATGCTTTTTTTTCATTTTTGTCTCTTCGACTGATGGTTCTATCTAAAAGAACATGTAAGTTCATTGCAATCTAATGCTGATGGCTAATGTAATACATACTTTTTCCCATAATTTTCTCATTCTTTTTTTTGTCATCATTCGAAAAGACTTTATTTACTAGATCAACAAGATTTTTTTCGGAAAGATTTACAACACGATAATCAAAAAGACGATAGTTTACACCTCCCATCCTTGCGATGAAATTTCTGAATTTCGATTGATACATTATCATCACATAAACTATCAAGATAATCGTCGTCGTCTTTAAAGCCATCAGATTGACCCAAGTGAGGGGGAAGTATGAACGCAAATAGGAGTAAAATTACTTGGAGAAGAGAGCGTGACAAAACGCGGTGGAGGAATGTGAAGGTGGAAGTACGGATGAGATGTAACGGGTGAGTCAACTTCTACTTTGTCATTTTCATTTTCTCTCTTCCTCTTCCGCTCTCGTTCCACTGAATCAAACTCAGTGTCAGCATATACTTGAAATCCTCGTCGTGCTATCTGGAGGCCATCTTGCCTTCCCTTCTTCTGCAAATAGCAAGTTCAGTAGTAAGGATCAAAGGAAGAGTCGCTAAAACACATTAAAAAAGTATAATAAATCATTTGCCTTGTTAATTTTTGATTCCAGGTCAATCAACTCTGATTCCACCGTTAAGGATGCGATTCGATCCTTCGCATTCCAGATTTTCTTGTTTTTCTCATTCTTGGAAATACCCTATATGTAAAAAGTAATAACACGATAAAATACAATAATATACTTCGATACAAAAAAATCATATGGGAAGGAAGTTCACAAGAAGCTACGGACGCGCAGGCCCTCCCCCAACGACACGTTGCCAATGGGTTTAGCTCAAGTGAAGCATTACATGTTCAGACACGCGGGCTCAACCAAACGTTTCCATGACCACGCACACGCTGGCGCTACTCGTCAGTTTACACGCAGGCAAAACCTTCTCAACACACGGTTGCCGGAACCTCTAACCTTGGAATTTTGGGTTGGAGGTAAGTCCTAATAAAATAATTTTTTAATTAAATTTTTTTTTAAATTTTTTTAAAAACGTAACATAAACTTACCTTGTAGAACGAACCGGTACCTACAAAAGGAAAGAGGTAAGTAATTGTTAACTTATTCACTAATTTTTTCTTCAATTATTAAGCATAAAAATGAATGCTTATCTAGAGATCTAGAGATCTAGAGCTACGCTGATCAATGCATGCGTGACTTTACATTGATCTCCATACTGTGATAATTTTTTTTTTAATCTAGTTTATAACGGTCTTTCTCGTCTCTCACATCATTCACAACGAAAGGAAATTAACTGAAGAGGAAATTGTCCCTATGCCTGGTATGTTTACACATGTGTAAAAGGTTGTAGCTTCATTCTCATCTCACCTGAATCATGTCATAACTTTTTCTTTCTTTTCTTTGGGCTGTGTTTTAATCTTTTGTAGGATTTTTACAATTTTTTCAGAAAGGATTTTTTATTACAAAGAATCAAAATTAATAATGTGTATATGAAAATATATACTTCTGAAACTGTTGTAAAATATATTAGCAAAATTATTTTAAAATTTATAATGTCTAAACAATTATCCCGACAAGCTCGTTTTCGTCAAAATAAGGCTCTTAGAAATATTAAGGATATAGATCAATTAACTGATTTATATGATTCAACAAAACATAGAACACAAATGAGCTCTCATGGATTATATACTTCAGATAAAATTGATTATATAAAAAAGCATTGGAAAATTGGTTCTCTTTATCCGGAAGATTGCATACCTTCATCAAAAAATATTAAAAAGAAATATGAGATTTCTTTAAAAGATTTATTAATTACAAAGTTAATTAGAGAAATAAGAATTAATAATTCTCAAGAAAAATCTGAATTTTCTTTAAAATATTTAAATTTAATTGAACATATAATAAATAATTATAAAAGTAAAGATAAAAATAATGAGGATGAAGATGAGGATATGGATGAGGATATGGATGAAGATGAGAACATGGATGAAGACATAGATGAAGATATAAATGAGAATAAAGATATATGGATTTCTTTTGGTAAATGGTTAGGGATAAAAAAGTTACAAATTAAAAAAAAAAGTAAAAAAAGTTATCAAAAATAAATGGAGAAAATTTCAACATGGTTTAATTTATCAAAATAATCAAGATATAATACACTGCCCTACACTAAATTACCGGATTTTTTACTATATATAGAAATTACATATAAAATCCAGTTTTTTTTACAATCATGCAAAAAAAATTTTTTATTAAT